AGGAAATGCCCAGAGACCCTACCTCCATGATTTGCAAGAATGAGCAATTAGTGCGAAACTGTAGGAGGGTACGAACAAGGTCAAATCGAAAGTATCCTCCATACTGTGATACAATATTGCCTAAGTTAATCACGGCAATTCTAGAAAAGGTTCTCAAGAATAATAAATAATGAATGCTAACTTAATTCTACTGAAGTCTGTTTGCCCACGACATTCTGACCCTTAAAAGGTCTTTAGAGAAACTTCAGCGAAGTATCCAAGAAGTACACAGCGTGAGGGCTAGAAAATGAACCTTAAAAGACTCAAGTCTTCTTCAACAAATGATATATTATGTGACCCTATTAACTAGCGATAAGAGTCGGTTTCGAAGTCCGAAACTACTGAGTTCGAATCCTGATAAAACTCTTTTTACTACTAAATTCTTTGAGCAAGTTATTCACCCCTACCCCCTGTACTTCAGTTTAGCTAGTTAAGAAATGAGTAGTAAGTCATTCGCCTTTGAACAACAGCGAGAGCCTACTGGTCTGGTGTTGTCATAAGAGAGTAGATGAGAAGTCTGACGTGCTGTTTGTTGTGAAAATCTCAATATGGTCGCAGTTCGCTTCCACCCATCTTTTGCAATGACCTGCACAGCGTGTACCCCTCTTCCTCCCCCAAAAATTCCAACATGAAACAGAAGAATAAAGATAGTGAAGGCACCTTCAGAAGGTGAAGATTCAAAAGACTGAAGTTTCTCAGATTAACTGTCCGAGAAACTGCCTGTCTTTGATGACCGTACATGATGATGGTCGTATATCTAGCACTCATATGTAAATGGGAGACCTAGACCTTAAATGTAGAACTACAGAGCATAGAACGCGCAGCATGGGAACATTTGCGTTGCGAAGAAAGCGAAAACCAAAGAGCACTGCAACGGTAGAAATAGAAACAAGTATGCGATTTCACTGTGACAGCACAGACGCTAAACGGCTATAAGATTGACGAACTTGATTAGGACACTAGACCCGATTCCCAAAAACTTCAAACAACTCAGAGAATCACTTTGAGGTTGAAGACAGGAGTAACTCGATAAGGAACTCCAACATGCCTTCAAATTGCCATTGACTGCTTACTTCGTAGCTGCCGGCGCAGCACTTGAAGTGTGCAACGGCATAAAGCCTTGAACGAACTGAGACAAAGCGAAAAAGTATAAAGATGAACACGAAGAGGAGGGAGAAAAAAGAACAACAACGTACACGGCTAACAGGAGCAAAAAAGGAATATACAAGCTAAATGTACAGAAGCTATACGTTGATTAGCCATTGGCGTTTTGACTTATACAAATATTTTCGTTCACATATCTGAGCTACCTGATTTCCAAGTTTTTACCTTACGATTTCGAAAACTGAAAAAAAAGTTCGCAACTTAATATATCGGTAATCCATGCACTTTCATGATGGGGCCATTCAATCCTGATGATTCGTCATTCATAGTATTAATAGCGACGCTGATCTCCATTTGTATGTTATCAACCAAGAGTTTCTCATTTTAAAAACACGGTAAACAGCAACAATGTGATAGGCATAGAGTGTAGTTCACTGTTTCCTTCCCACAGAGTGATACTCATTTATGTAAATCGGATATAAGGAAAGAGAGTGACCGTGTTCGGGACTCGGATCTAAGGCCTCTCGTTTCTGAGACCGACTGAACAACTCGTCTGAGTCAACGTGCAGCAAATTCTTTGCTCAAGCGAATTCGTGGTTAAGACAGAAGTTGCTATCCGTTGGAATCGAACCCGGTACCTACAGGGTTCGAAGCCGACCTCTTAGGCCCTGTATCACTAGTCCATGGGGACAAGCGTTGTCATTCACCATGAAACAGAATGATCTTTATTTTTACCATAAAGTCAAGACTTTTAACATTAAATTCTTTAAGTGCTTGCC